GATATGGTAGCAAAAGCCGTCCTTTCAAAAGTAACCTCAATGCCAAACTAGCAAACCGACATGTTGCTCCAATTCTTCCAACTAACATATAGATCAACATACATCCAGTCACCGGTAATCTACTCAGCCTAGTCCTTTTCCTGACGAACGGTGGTCCACCATCTGTCAGTACCCCTAATTCTACAATATCATCTGGTTGTAAGCTAATCCTTTTCCGACGAAATACGCTAGCTGTTTCGGTGTGTGTGTGTGTGTTTGTGTGTACTATCAGAATGAGAAGGAAATTAAGAGATCTGAAGGTTTAACACCTCATTTGAAAGGAATTACACAAGACTGCAATCGAACGTCTATCCTATGCTTTATTCGGCCTTAACTTGGTGAATAAGTCATTCCGGCCGGGAGCTGTTCTGTCCATCTCGATCAGATTTGAGCTGTGATTCGTATGGGAGCCAAATGGCTGGAACAAGTTTATCTTCTACACCGCGCACAGCTATACCCGAGGAACGCATCAACGCGATAGTTAATTGACTGAATTAAAAAGTTAGGTTGAGCACATTTTAGACATCCTGTTGCGCTGGATATCGTCCCCTTCCTTACGGTGTTGACAACTTAGCTCCGAACTGAAACGGTAGCTCGCCGTGCGCCTCTAATTGAGAGAGAATCCGGTCGAAATAGCCTGAGGAGGCATAAAAATGAGGTAACCAAGCTGTCTCTTGAAGAGAACATTTTGGAATACCAAGTTAACATTGTTCACTCTGGCCCTCCGTGCATCGTCTGCCCTTCGTCTTAAATGCACATGTCGTTTGCTCGCTTAAGCTCTCTTTGTGCGACCGTTTTGACTCTATTCACAAAGTGTTTGATCACGTCTTGTACTCACTTCTATGTTGACCCCGTGTTCTGTACATGTGCACTGCCGCGTCTGTGTTCCTCTTGACTAAGGAACTGTGCTGACTTCGGCATGCTTCTACGCGCCAGGCCTTGTGGCTTGGACCAGTTCCTGAACCAACACCTGCTCCCACACACCCTATTGTCCAATGTAAACGGTCGTGGACACATTGCGCACCAAGACGAGCGGATGGCTGAGGTCCGTGTATAAAAGCCTACTGATCGTTTGAGCTTGACCATGCGTAGGTCCTTTACCTTGTGTGGGTCTAGCGGTAGTGTAACCAATTGTTGCTACCCCGCCTCCCAAAGTGCGATTTCTCTGTGCCACAAGGAGGTCTAGGTTCAGCAACCATGCTGGCATATTGTTCGAATGCTATTAGCTGATAGCGGTTTGCTACTCAGTGCGATTCTGGATGCAGTTTCGATGGTTATCGGGTTATATTTGCTACGACAAGGAGGAAAGCCTCTGCCTTACGGATGAACGCGATTGTTTTCGGGATGTTATCAATTGAGAAACGGTATAGTCAAGTGCGTTTGTCTCTGCCGCATTTCTCTTCGTTGAAGGCAGTCGATCCAACATAAAATAGCATGGAAAATCTTTGTCCACTCAATTCGTGTCTCGCAATTGTGGAAAGGTGGGGCAGTGGATTCTTATTGCTTCGACTTTGACTGTGCTCAGGTGGCTCGAGAGCGATGCCTACTAGGGGATTATTTTCTCCCATCTGGCTCTGCCGACGAGTACGAGGTACACAAGAGACATCGGCATTATTGCAACAGCGCGAAAACAATTAAGCGTTGGCAGTCCGAAGAGCAGCTTACAGACATAACAAAGATGGACCACAAATGCAGTTCTGCCCCGAGCATACCTCCGCATTTCAGACGCATTTCGCTTCCGCATTTGAAAATGGCCGTGCGTCTGTACCGATTGCATTGTGCAGCCGCGAACGAACCTGCTGTGTTGATACTGTACGCATGCTACTGGCCAGACCTAAGGTGCTCCATCTGTTGATTCTCAACTCCCCATCGGCTAACATCTTATCTTCCGTGACTGATCTGTTCAACAGGTCGTTGTCTGAGGCTGCATTGCTGAGCAACTGGGAATGCTGGGTAGTGAAACCGATTGAGAGCGGAGACGACCCAAGCAAGTTGGGTAATTACTGGCCAATTCATCTGACCCCCTTTTTGGTCAAGATACTTAAGGAGACCATGAAGAATGTTCTGCTGCAGCCGTTGCATTCATAAGACCTGACGCCGGAACACTATGATTTCGTGAAAGGCCCCTCACACAACTGGTTGCTGATCCCGCCCTGATAAGGGTGTCTCGAGCTGCCAAGAGTAAGCCTGTCTAAGGCAACCACTTAAGGGACTGACAAAAAGTGGTCGCCTCGGACAGCTAGTCGCCATAGACAAGTGCTAAACCGGGGAATTCAGTCGACTTGATCTACATTGGTTTTACTAAAGTGCTCGGTAATGTGAATCACAAGTTCCTTACACAAGCTGAGGAAGTCCAATGTCGTTGGCTCATTGCATCAATGGGCCGGCCCACAGTCCTAATGATCAAAATCCTGCGTTGTAATTCGAGGACGTGGGTTCAAGCCTGCGTAGGAGACCGGACGACTCTCGAAGTATCCATAGCCCACACGCGATTATTGACAGTTGCGCAGCAATGAAGTACTGCTGTTACTTGCAACAGAGTGCATCAGCGCCTTCCTTATTAGACAGAAGTGTAGGGTACAGTTGGATGATAACCTAACTGAATGGTACCACACCACCAGTGGAGTGCCCCAAAGCACAGCACTGGGTTCATTTTATTCCTGATCCACATCAAGGAAATAAATAGGTTTCTTCACTTGCCTTATGCAGTTTTTACAGACGACCGGAAGATTTGGAGAGCAATTGATCTTCTTGACAACTCCGACGTATTACAGCATAACCTCGACCGCCTGTCCATGTGGTCTGGGGAAGTCCTCATCCTGGTCAACCCAGTGAAGCTGTTAGTTAACAGTCCGGGGGAGAGTGGTGGTGGATGTACGTACATCCTGGCCTACCAATCGCTACATCCCACGCCTTCCACGAGGGACCTAGGCGTACTCAAGCTGCGGTCTCAAATCCGTGTACAGCACGATCAGAATACTTGGAACCAGACTGCACATGCTTTGGGCGCTCAAACGCAGTTCCTGTATCTGGTCCGAAAACATTGCCTCTCGGCTCTTCATTACCAACCTAAAACCAATGTATTAGCTGTACGCCGTAACGGCGCTTCGCTGTCACGCGACCACCACCAGTATCGCGCGGGCTGAGTATACCGCGAGGATACCCATCCCTACGCGGATTCGAACCGGAGACCGTATGGTTGCAAACCAGGCGTGCAGACCATTCAGCCACCAGCCGACACACTCGCCTAGTTTATAAGCGCTGCAATCCCTATTGGTGTAGATTCTCTGTGCTTGTTTACACCGCCTACGTGATGCGTTTTGGACTAGCTTTTATACCACAGATGTCATTTGAGACGTTGTAAGCGCAAACATAGAAACTCAAACTCCCAGTGGTCTGGGTGGCCTAACGTATGGTGACACATAGTCTCACGTCTGTTTGTGCAGGTGGACTAACTCGTGCCAACCGGTAAGTGCCAACCCCTGTTCACTGAAGCACATTACGCGAGCAGTCACTACGATGAAGTAACCCATGTAAGCAACATCTCTCCAAAAGAGAAGGCGTACAATCACGATGCATTGTAAGAAGGTGAAAATTGTCACCGAAGTTACAATCGCCCAGGAGAACTTAAATGAGACATCTGAAATTAATCGTTAAACCCGGCTGAAGATGTATTTAAGTTTCTGTTCAAATTTACAAACTATTTGCAACACCAGGCCCAACTATGAGTGTGGCGTCCCTACTTCACAACTGATCTGGTGTTACAAACTAGGCCCCTAACTGTCCCAAACGGCTTAAAAAATACCAATCCCAGTACATGTCTGACGCTCATTCCTTTTTAACTTCTCAAAGAAATCTATGCACCGCGGAAAAACCGGAACGTGTGTGATTATAACGGGAAGATGCCGGTGGTCAATCGCAGCACTGTTTACCATGACGGTAAGAGAGTTTGTTGCCACCCACGAACAGCGCCTCAGCCTAAAGAGGAGATTCTTGTATTTCTCCGATTTAAAATGAAAAAATGCTCGTGACCACAACTAATCTATGTTTTATCACTGCTGACACGATGAGAGTGACTGCATATACGGTCAGCTCTGCGTGTCGGTAATGTGCTTCTACTGGTCGCACACAAAATAAGCCCGGATGTGAAAAATAAGTTTGTCCTCCGAGTTTTTGATTTCAAACGTCTCAGTTTGTCTTCTTACTCAATGTTGTTTGGCTTAACCACAAGGACTGTAAGTTCCAATGACCTGTTTGTTGTCCGTGCTCGGGTTGCAAGTTTTCACACGCTAGTTTCAATGCTGCATCCGAACCCCAACAGAAAACCGCAATTTGCAAATATGACTCACATTCGCCTATACAGTTGGTACCGAGTACAAACCGTACTTACTGCTTCCTTCACAGCCGGTGTACAGTTTAAGCGAATCCGATTAGCATGTGTTGTACTGATTGGCACGTGCTAGTTCTGAAGTAACCTGACAATGGTTCCCCACCCGCAGCGTCTTAACTTTAGCGACTTAGCCTTAATAGAATGGACTCGACAGCTCGTCAATATGCCAGGCTTCTTCAGTAGGTACTACCTTCACCCTGTGGTTTCCTGTGATCGATAAGTAGCTAGTTTCCTTGCTCAACTGACTCAGTCGTCGGAGTTATTTGGGACCCGACCCCTTGCCAGAGGGTGACACTATATGTGTTGCATCTTAGGGTTGTCTACTATGCATTCACTAAATGGGACTGTACCCCCGAACACTCAAACTCGTCTTCTCTATTTAATGCTTCATGCTGTGAGATGGAGCCCTTAATAGGCTGCACGAATGCAAGAAACCGTACCTAGTTGCGCTTCTTAGTTCCATTTTCACTAGACTTGGGCCAACTTATATTCAGCTGACTGATTAACTTTGTGTTTACAATCCCTTTCCTGTCAATGCCATTTCAACCTTGTTTCTCTTATTTTCCCGCAGCGATGGAGTACAGCCAGAGAGATCAAGATTGAACTGAAGAAAATGCACACTTTCGGGGACGAACGCGGAGCTGAGAAGGACACACTTTTGACGTACTACTTCGCTATACAGAAATTCACCGTGGGAGGAAGGTTAGCATTGCCCTGGGTTAAAACGCGCATTTCTGTTTCGTTGAAGGCAACGACACTGTTGCTGAGACAATTGGACGTGTGATCGAGCATGTCATGCACGTAGTTGGCACGGCTGGGTGTCATGCGCACCATGGTTTGGACGCCGCACGCCTTGACTGTGGCGTGCCACACCGGTTTGGTTTTATGAATACGTCCGAAATATCAAGCTGCATCGATAACTAAACACACAGAAGGTCGACTGAGCTACCAGTCTTTCTCTAGCAATCACACAACATATGAGGCTACAGGCAATTCCTTCGGTATAACATGGTCACCCCACTGAGGCAGTACTTTGTCGGATTTTCCTAAATGATTTACCCCAGCTCAAAATTCGCGTGCCTTCCAATCCTCCTCAAGTAGTAATTAAACATGCACTCCCCTTTGTCTACCTTTCATCGTGTTTATACCACCAGAATGTCTGTTGCTAGACTCTGCGTTACTGAGTTGATTATCAGTTCTGAATTTCTCTACAACAATGGAATCTGTGGTTGAGTACATTTTTGACAGCGACCAAAGTTTAACGTCTGTCTGTTTCATAGGTGGTCAATGAAGTCGGTCTGCACTACACCTGCTTGTAAAGGACACACTTTCCAAACTGAGATTGCCTCCCACAATTTACGCGCACAAATGTCTCCAACGCAAAGAGTATTTGTTAGAGGACTAATAAAAACGACACGCTTATATAACCGTTCGGGACTGCAGACTTTCGTTTTGCTCTGGTGGCTTACTGAGGTTTATTTTAAAGTATCATTTAGCTATCCGTATTGGCTGCGCAACGTTTGTCGCTTCTGCTTTCCAATCGCAGCCCTACTCTGACTCTAGCACTCTTACTTTCCATTCTTTGTGTGTACCTGATTAGCCCCTTAGTTGTTCAGCCCTCATTGGCTTTACTTGTTCGCCAAGCTTTACGTACTATTGTTGCTTTTCACGTTTGTGCGTCATGCTTTATAACGAGTTGGTTTCCATATGTAAAAGAACTCTTGCATCCTTGTCCCCGCTTGCTTGTGTTGTCAGTATCCTTTGTGGGTAGAAGCAATCGCGTGACTCGGTACAAAATTTGTGGCGACGGAGGTATTGAATAGTAATAGTAATAGGTAGTTCATTCGAGCAGCTGCAGTCCCACCTTCAGCACCAGCGATTTCGGTTTGAAAAATCACAGCGACAGTTAATGGAGTTGCTGTCTCAAAAGCTGATCATCCACTTAGGATGGGAACTGGAACCCAGGCTGAGATCACCGGAAATTGACGCTGAATGCCACAGGCTGCTCAGTTTGAACCATGACCCCAACAGCGACTGAAGCTTCAGATCCCAGAGAAGAACCTCAGTCCTGTCACACAGCAATTCGTGGCCAAAATATGAATCGGGATGTACCGGACTGGAATCCCCCGACTGTATCTTGGAACGGTGGTGAGGCAGTCTGTGGGAGTTTGTGACTATAAAATTCACTGTGTTCACGAGACGCAATGTGTTGCTTGCGTACTGCCAAGTTGCAAGCAAACTCCAGGTTCAAAAGGACCAGGTTTCGAGGCGCAGCAATGGAAGCGATTTCCGCTGTATTTCGTACCTGCTTTTCAGGGAAGAGAAAAACAACCCTACAGTGAAACGCAACAGTATGCCGGTATTGCTGCGACCAGAAAGGATACATACTATCAAGATCATTTTTCGATCGATCCGGGCAAGACTTAGCATATTCTCAGCCAAACCTATAATTCCAAAGGTTCAAAATATTTCAGGAGAACCTCTGCGGGTGAAAGGAAGAATCAACTGTAAACACAGACTCAAGGATTTGAAATTTATGGAACTATCCACTCAGTCTTCTGTACCGAAATTACTCTGGCCGGAATCGATTGGATTGCGAACCTTAATTTACTCAGAGTCACTGAGTAATGTGTGTTTTGATACGGTTGTTATTGTTCACAATATTAGCCGCACCTGATCTAACTGTTCGTGTGGTTACAAGTTACCTGTACGGACGGCACTGCAGTCTTGACCTAAGTCCAAAGGTCATGGTCGCGGCTCTAAATGGACCCAGGTGAAGCCCCCATCGGAAAAGCTATGTATACCAGACGTGAAGCTATTTCTCTAGAAGAGAAAGGTGGTGAAGGGCGAACAAAAATGTCATGTATGTGAAACCGTTGGTGACTGCAGGCTTTCGTTTTGCTCTGGTCGTTCACTGGGGTTTGTTTTAGTGTACCATTTTACTATCCCTATTGTGATGGTAGCTGAAACCTGGGGCGAAGGGACTCGTCACGATCCCGATGAACCGGGGAACACTCGGACCAAGGCCGAGCGCGCAGGACTGGTCCTGTCCAGCACACAACGTATACAGCGTCATGTTCGACGGCAGCGATGCGGATTGGTCAGCCGTATGACGAGCGGACAGCTCACGCCTGAGCCCATGTTAACATCCTGCTCAGCTGTGACAAATATGCAATCGTGGGACATCGAACGAATAGGCGGACGGCCTATCAGACGCCACCATGCAGTCTACCCGGAATGGCAACATCGAGGCTCGAGGTAACCCTGGATTCATTAAGCATGGATCGGTCCAACTGAAGAACGAGCACGAACCAATGGGATGGTGATATCACCACTGGCCAGTTAGCAAGGATCAGCCATTTTTTCGGACGACAGCAGAATATTGTACGTGGTCTATAAAAGCCGCTATACTTCCTGATGATGAGTTCTGATCGCTGCGCAGACTTTGTGCTTGATTCCCAGAGGGCCGCTCGACACTTATTGGCTGTACAAGGGCCGTTGTTTTGCTTTCCAATCTCAGCCCTACTCTGACTCTAACAGTCTCACTTTCCGTTCTTTGTGTGCACCTGATTGGCCCCTTATTTGTTCAGCCTTCATTGGCTTTACTTGTCTGCACGCTTTCCGTACTCTGACTTTCACGCTTGTGCGTCATGCTATATAACGAAGTGGTCTCCCTAGACAAAAGAATTCTTGAATCATTGTCCTTGGTCCTTTGTGTTCTCACTACCGTTAGTGGGTGGAGGCAACCGCCGGCCCGACACAACGGTATTCACTGTATGGATTCCGGTTTCATTGCCTGATTCAGTCAAAGCCTCGGAGAATACAGCGAATGTCGTATTCTCAATTGTTCCAACAGATTTTGGGTTCAAACACGCAAGCTACGTGTGCCGCGACAGTGAAATCTATTAACGTTGAGCTATCTCTGTTGATGGCTGCTCAGTACTGTTCTCTGTCCTCTGAACAGAGTCCCACAGCTCTAAATCATTACCGACAGCATCATAATCATTGTCGTTGGTAATAAAATTGGAACGGTGGAACGTTAGTTCCTCATAAGCCAACGTAGCTAACGCTTGATACGTCCTATAGGTTGCGAAAGCGAATAAATAGGAAGGCAATATGGGGTCAGAAAAATGAGGCAATTGTTAATGTACTCACTAGGAACTTAAACTGGAATTACGTTGCTACTCAATCAAAACGAGCTATATCGCTTAATGTAAATCTATGGGTATATCGTCAAGACGTTTGCCGGATATCGCTAGTGTAGCGTGAAGAATAAGCAACGTTCGTGGGTCGGAAGTCCCACCTTTGGTATATAAAGAGGGAGATAAAAGCGCTGCGGTATTTCAACCGGTCGCACTGTGTAGCCAGCTTTAGTTTATGGTTTCCCAGTATGTTCACCGGGGACGTGGATGGAAGAAGAGGAGGGGCGGCCAAGCGATGACTTTGTCTAGAGGAATGAAGGCCCTCACTTCTGTGCTGGCCTCGGTTGGAGCGTCACGGCTCCCTGGTTGGGGTCCAAAAGACGGTGAACACGTTTGGCTGGATACACTTGTTGACATGGCAAGGAGCCGACCTCCGTGGCGTTCATGCTGTGAGTTTCTTTGTCCCTCCCCATCCCTTTTAGCCTCCTCCTCCATCTACGATCTCATTTCTTAGCGTAAAACGTAATAAGTTTTCTTTTTGCCTAGTAGCCGGCTGGTAGCTTACCGGAACGATGCCTATCCGTTGCTGGCAGCTCAGCTGGCAAGCAACTTTTGCACTTATTTTCCTTTTCCTTTATGTATTGCGGCACAGTAGCTGAGGTGTTTCCCACCTCTAGCTGACATGTGTAATGATAATGATGATTCCCAGTATGCTACTGTCTCCCGGTCTCTGAACGTGACGACAAAATTTGTTGGAATTCCTCACAATTTGGTGCGTCATCATCAAATCGCTAGGCAGGCGCCGATACTGTCCACCATGGGCCTCCATAGCCGACAGTCGGATGTGTGCTATTACTTACTTACTTTACTGCGGCTAGCTCCTGTGACAAGATGAGCCGGCATCATGAATGTCGCGGTTTGCAGCTGCTCAAGCGCGGCGGCTGGCGGAAAGCCCCACACAGATACTGATCCAATGATTTTTCCAATGACGCGCCACGCACAACCTGGAGTACCAGAAGATCGACATCCGATTTCACTGCAGCGAGCCACGTTTTCAGTTGTCTACCACGGCGAAGACACCAACCCTGGCAAGGAGAAGGCAAAAGCACGGCCTTAGTGAAGTCAGTGTCTGGTCTGCGGAGGACGTGCTCGAATCACTGAAGTCTGCGGCATTTGATGAGCGCTGTTCCACTGGCTAGTTCATCCAAAGCTTCGACGTAACGCGGTGTCAACGGGTGGCTGTTCTTTATCACTGCCTACCCCCACACAAACTGTTCCGCTTACTCATTGAATGATCATTTCTATCAACAACCGAACGCGCTTCTTCGGCACAGTAGTACTTCAGCTACTGTGGTGGTGGCTGATGATCTGAATGCTCACGTTGGAAAATCGTCGGCTGAGGAGTTGTAAATGGGTGGTAAACACGGTGTCAGCTCCTGAACTAATAACAGTGAACGGTTGTTACACTTGTATGAAGATGCTCGGCTGTTTCTCGCGAGCACTAAATTCCAACACAGAACCCGTCGGAAGGTGACATGTCCCGCACCAGCCTCGGACCAC